TGCAAATAAATGATCAAATTTTGCTAAATTATACGGGGTGCATAAAACCACGGGGACAGAAAAAAAAAATGTGTCCCTCAATTTTCAAATAATGAAAAACAAAACTTGAGACAAAAGCTAATTTTTAATATCAAAAACTTACTAAAAGAACTTGTTTATATATGAATATCATTGAAAGGTTATACTTTTTGATTGACAGACAAAAATAAATTATTAATTTTGACTGAAAAAGATTATGAAAAAGTACCAGTAACTCATTCCACGGTTTTGCCACAATATTTCCTAAATTTATGCAAATATTTCAGAAGATAGAGAAAAAATATGGATAAGTATGAACCTTTTCTGATAAGAGGTACATTTTCTAAATTACATTAATCAGAAAAGACGAGACATAACGAAATCACAAATAAAATTAATGACACATTATGATACAAGTTCTAACATCAGCAAACTCCATGAGACGACCAAACACTATCATTTATAGCGTCGGCATGGAATGAGTGCTGGTACAGGATAAATATAAGCACATGTGCAATGTAATGACAATCTATCATGAAACTTCATTGAGAAATTCATTGTCTTTGTGGAACTTCAGTATTGAATGAAACAACTGCACGTCTTTCACCTTTGTTGACAGTTCCCTTTACACATGTCTACTACATGAGCTTCTAAAAAGTACAGGCACAAAGGGCAGACTTGAAGAAGGTATGAACTATGTGTAGTGAGACTGAGCACTGCTTGTGTCTATTTTGCACATGGTCAAGGGCTGAAATTTCTTTTAAAAAAGGAGAATTCATTGAGCTATTTTTTGTCTTAGGCGTAAAAAAATCACTTGTCTAGCAGAGTGCAAAAAAAAAAAACCCAAACAAGTTGCTTGTCATCAGAATATCAATGAAACTTGTATTTTATCAGTACCTAAATTTCCAACATGTAAACATACAGTGTGGGTAAACCATATGTTTAATGTACAGGAAAAATCTCAAGCAAAATAAACGCAGTGTCAACTAAACACAAGTGATACAGGTTGTATTTTTAAAAGTGTACATATACCATTATAACACAAGGTAAGGAAAAACATTATAAAGACATTCATCAAAGCAAATATACAAATAAGAAATACTCCATTTGATGACTGATTGAAAGTTTCAAAAAATCATAAACTCAAATCACACATGGAACTTTTTTTCACATTTCTCAAAAAAAACAACAACACCATTCTACTAAAATGAATTTCATTGGAGATAAATTTCATAAAATAGCAATCTCACAAAACAAAAGGCCTATTCCCAGTTTTTCTTGTTTGAGAACAGGAAAATTAAAGTCTCAACTTCAGCTCAGATCAACTCTGTTGTTGGGAGTTGTCAGAAAACAATGCATCTTAAAGTTTCTGAAGTTTTATGACTATTTCATTCTCATACATTATTTTCATAATAAAGATCACCACAATCCCTCTTTATTTTTTTTGCTGGAAAGCAACCTCCAAAGAATTTACTCTTGAAATAATGTCTTTAATGTGGTAAAGAGCATTTAACATATTCAAGCCAGTCAGCACCTCTATTAAACAAGACTGTCAAAAATAAATGTATTATTTCCTTTTACCTAAGGTCCACCAATTTAAATAAACTGTCCCCTGGTAGGACTTCTAAACATCTTTTGACTTTTGATTGTGTTGATGGAAACAACAAAAGACTAAGAGTGAGCTGAACAAAATGTTTTTTAATTACGGAGACATTTGTACTATTTCATAAATATAATGAAAGTGGTTTGAAAAAAAAACAACAACCTGCGTTTAGATCTTTTAACCTGCACCTCAGGAGGCCACCTAACATGAACTTCTTTGCACATGTGATTTACTGTACATGTGAAAGAAAAGAGTAAAGTGGAAATATCACAGAAGTTATTAGCAGTACAAAATATGAAGAAAACAAAAGTACACAACACACGAAAGCCTTTACTTGTATGTTCCATAAAAAAAAGTTGGTGGTAATTGAACAACCGTTTACTTCACAAAGTGACCATCACATCACACTCTCTGAAATCATGTACACCACTACATTTTTAAAATCGAAAGCAATAAAAATTCTATGTTAAAAAAAGTTCAGCTACAAAATTGGTTTTTATAAAGTCATAGAATGATGATGAGAAAAATTAATAGAGTAAACTTGTGCTTTCATCAGAGTGGACAGGAGGAAACTTCAATGTTTCTTCCTATTCAAATACAAATGATCGACCTTATTCCTCCTCATAAATCTACATTTTTGACTTAACAACAAGGGGAAGGTTTTCTTCACAAGGATGCTGTACCCAACTCAGCCTGGGAAGGCTCTGACAAGCAGAATCAAAGCTTCTAAACGATCTAGAATATATCAATGGGGGCAAAGAACATTTACAATTTTAAGCACATGTAAGTCAAGCTTTTTACTTTCCCTCAATACATTGTGCCAGTCTTCTCATATTTTTTCTGAGCATTGACCATAATTACGTCAGATTACACAATTCTCTTACCCCCAAAAATTCCCCTATCAAGATTCCTTTTTGTCACCGTCCACTTCACAATACAACTTTAAACAGGAAAAAAAGACTTGTTACAAAGATCTTAGACTCAGTTTCACAGGGACATTTGTCCCATACACCGGCTTCACAATCACATTTTTAAAAATAAACACTGAAAAGAAGTTTTGCATACATTCAGACCTCAAAATCAATTTTTTATCAATATAACAAATCAAAAACCTACAATGAGCAAATCAAGAGAGTATTGATCAAAATACATTACTGCTGGCTCTTAAAAGAGGCTATTAAAAACAAAAAAACAAACTATGTACATCAGATCAAATCACAACAAGGAGGTACAAAATAATATTTTTTGTTTAAGTAAAGTTTTACAGCGCTCGCAACTTCATAAGGTCATATATGAATATGAGCGCCAAGGGGTGGATGCCAACAGAGAAGTCCAAACGGGAAATCAGGCTTACTTTTTTCACCTCTCTAGCCTCAACAGCATAAAGTCTGCTTTGACTATCAAGGCACCCCGGAAATACCAGTTCACAAGAGAGTGACAAACATACAAAGAAAAAACAGCAGTTCATCCTATGTTGTTCCGGCACAGTATGAGCATGACATTAATAAATCAGCCCATTTACAATTCTACTGTGCATAGAACATGTTAATATACCCCCTTTGAGAATGGCCGAAAGACAACTTCAGTCAGTAGCACTGCCCTGATTGGGGGCTAAAAATAATATCATATATTTACATAATAAGACACCTAAAAAAAATATGGGAAACAAAAAATGAACACCAGCGATATATTTTTCTCTCAGTAAAAAGGTGAGATAACTTTTATTTCAGTTGTCATTGAGGCAATTGAAAAACATTAAGGGGGCGGTCGGGTGGGACTTAAGCTGAAAATTGGGTCAAAATATTGTTTTTGAGGCTTTTGCCCAAGTGAATAGCTGAATGTGTTTAGATATTAAATCCGGTATATTATTTTGCTGAGATAAGCATGCTGTATGTGAAATTTTGTTTCATATGGCTACGAAAAGTATCACAGCAGGTCATTTTTTACTTTGTTTTAGTAGAGGTTTTTAAATTTTAGTAGAGGTTTTACGGCGCTCGCAACTGCATAAGGTCATATGAGCGCCAGAAGATTAGAGGTGTTACAAGAGAGTAACAAACATAAAAAAGAAGAAGGGGAGATAAGGACAATAGATGTTTGATAGGAAAGAAGGAGCAAACCACACCAGAGCACCCGCCAACCACCCACTAGTAGAGGTTTTACGGCGCTCGCAACTGCACAAGATCATTTGAGCGCCCAAGGGTGGATGTCAACAGAGAAGTCCAAATGGGGAATCAGACTTACTTTGCTCACCTCCCTAGATTCAACAGCACAAAGTCTGCTTATTTTTACTTTAACACTTTGCCTTCACAAGGCTTATTTATATAGAAAAAACCTTTGCCATCAAAGGCAAAGGCATCTTGGGGAAAATCCAAAGAAACTAGATCGGCGAGATGTGACGGGAAAGTGAACTCTGAACTGCGTTTTTCATGGACAGCGTGCCACAAAAATCAAAAAAATTTCGCCAACTTATTGCCCTAGACACTTGAATTTTGGCACAGAGGCAGCTTATCCTCTAGGTATTGAGCTAGTTATTTGTGTCTGTCTTTGTATATATGACAGGGGGCATGAGCATGTGTATCAGGTTGGGGGTTGTGTTATCAGCACTTTTTTATATGATGAATTTCAAAGTCATGCTCCATCCATGAAAACAACCAAATATAAAAAATACTCGCCTTATTACCTCAATATAGGTCCTGCCTTTCTATCTTGATGAGTGTTTGAGATTTTAGGAATTTAATATTTGTTTTTTGTTCATGATGGCCGCCATTACCATGGCAATGAATATGTTACGAATAACACCCCAAATCATTTAGCACCTTGGCATTGAGTGTTACTATGCTAAATTCATTCATTTCGATCAGTAAATAAAAATATTTTTTTAGCTCACATGACCTCCCCCTTAAGCGAGAAATGTCTATTAAAAAATAAATAAATTTTATAGAGCTTACCATACTTTTTCTTCCCAGCCTCTGCTACGCTGCGGTGTTAAAAGGAGAAACAAACGTTTTTCTCTAGTTTGGTGTGTCCCCTGTTGCATGGTTATGTAATTACAAAGAGTATCAATTTTTAATACTATCAAATGGCATAACTCACTTTTAGAATGTAAACAAGGCATGTTGTGTGAGAGAGTGAGCATGTGTTTTGTAGGTCTGCGTACATGTATGCACATACATTTGAGTGTATGTTCGTGTATGTGTGTGTGTGTGTGTGTGCATGTGAGTTTGTGCATTTGTAAAATTGTATGTGATCAGGGAGGGAAAAGGCTATGGGTGACTAACTAAACTATCAACCTGGAATTCTGTAAGAGCTACAATGCAGAAATTGAGTGGAGAGCGTCCCCATGACATTGATGGTTTAAAGAAAGTTTTTTTTTTTTGTCTTTTATAATGAAAGAAAAGAAAACAAAAAAGACAGTTTTAATTCTTTGTCGGGTCCCCATACCTCATAAACAAAAACACATTGATGACAACTTAGAACTCATGCACATACAAAAGAAACATTCGTACCCCTGATTTTTCAGAAACTGTACACATGATAGTATTATACAATGCAGTTGAAAGGAGGAACTTATCAAATGCCCATTTCATAAGAATTTGGAAGCACTGAACAAATGGTATTAAAGTTGCAGCATATGTGCCAGACTGCAAGACACTGTGCGCAGAATTGTGGAAGTAGAAAGTGCTGAAACTGTTAATAACATCAATTATATAAATCTACCAATTTTAGCTTTACAGGATTCAAACCAAGCACACTTATCCTGCGCACACCAACTGGGGACATTTTGACAGCACAACAATTTAAAACAGACCAAATAATATTTTCAAGCATGCCATAATCCTAACATCCTTGAGAAACAATGATGTGAAGAAGACAAGAAAAAACCACCACAAAAAAAAAACGGCATAAAAAGTTACTACTCAATGTTCAGCAAACCTTGTCACCTGAAAGTACAACACAGCTTGGAAAGAGCACATCAGAACTTAGTCCACAAAACAGTACACAGCTGACCGAGGGTGCATTAAATTGTAAATGACATCAGAAACCTTCAGAGTTTTCTGTGAAAATGTAAAATCAATTAAAACTCCAAATTGATAAAAGCTTCACTCACACTTCTTTTTAAGAAAACATTTTTGTCTTTCAAATCTTAAGGATGTCAAAATCAATGTGCATGGTCAATAACACTCACCACTACCACAATTATATTGCATTATATTACATCACAGGAAACAAGTTCATGAAAGACATAAAAATAAGCAAAAGGTCTCTTCAGAGAGAATCTCTCTCTCTCTCTCTCTCTCTCTCTCTCTCTCTCTCTCTCTCTCTCTCTCTCTCTCTCTCTCTCTCTCTCTCTCTTTGTGTCTTTCTCTCTCGAAAACACACATAAAACACACATAAAACACACACACACACACACACATACACACACACACAGAGTTTTAAGTGATTTGGAAGGTCTCATTCTATTTTCATTCAACGATTCTCTTCCTACTTTTTTTTCCAGCTTTGTATTGTTTCTGATTTCAAAAACATTTATGACTTATGTACTCGATGACAAGATCTTCATGGGGAAATGGGCCAGTCTCTTCGGAATCAAACAAAAATTTTTGTAATGTTTTGTAAGAATGTATTTTGAAGAATGAACTATGTTAACCCTGATCATAGTATATATTTATGTATAAATATATAATACATTCAGAACGCAGCATCAGTATATGCAGGAGGCGGGTCCTCGGGACTCATAGGGTTATAGTGCCTGTGCTGCTGCTGCTGGTGCTGTTCACTGCCACTGGGATGCCGGCCTGGGCCCGCACTGTAGCCTGCCAACCCTCCGTCACCACCCACACCACTCTGATAACCCACAAAGCCTGCCTGTTCTGGAACTTGGGTGGGAATCATAGCGTAGGGCAGCTGTTGATTGTACGGGTCAGACGGGTTGACAACCTCTCCGGTAGTGAACCCGGCCCCGGGGTTGCGGCTATCGGCCGGGGTGTAGTCTACGGCCCCGCCCCATTTGCGGGAGGTGTCACCACAGGCTGGGTGACTCTCTGAGCTTACCTCGGAGTTCATGCAGTCCATACAGCCGGGAACCGCAACCACCACCAATAGTAGGAATACAACAACACAAACAATTACTCCCAGTGCAATGTTGTCCGATGTCAATGACTGCAAAGTTCCACTGTCACCTGAAAAGTAACAATTATGACAGTTATTTTGTACTCCATTATGTCAGTGCTATTGTGTGTATAAAACTGTGGAGGTCCCCTACTTCAAAAATTGTAGCCACCTGTAAAATATATCTAATATACATTCTGTCACTTCCAAGATCCAAAATATTAACTTTCTATCAATTTAATTCAATCTTTTTGCAAAACTTTGCATCATCTGCAGATGATTTTTCTTTCCTCCTACAACAATAATAACAACTGAAACAGATTACTTTTATACAGGGTACATCTCTACTTGACAGTAAAGGCCCTATACATGTTTTTAAAATTATTCTTACTAATCTTACCCCAATAGACTCTATAACATTCTGAGATATATTCTTAGCTTCTTGGGATGCATTCAGTGCAAAGAGTCTATTCACAAACATTAACATACTGACAAAATCTTTCACATTATGTTAAGTGGATACCCACTCCCAGCTGTGTGAAAGGAGGAAAATGTGTGAATAGTCACTTTCCCAAAAACAAATATTAGGCCCAGATTGGGAATCTTATCAACGGCCTCAGGGTTGTGATTCCAGCAACCTGACCACTGGATCACCAGTTGTAAACTATACTGTTCCATAATATATATATCAATGAAACTGGTGTTACTTATCATAAACAGCATTACTGTCTCACTGGAAAGGATGTATACATGTTTTGACAAACAGGGATTAGCACGTCAATCATTTTATAACACTGGCTCTCACAGTACACCTGGCTTAGTGTCACACTCATTACTGAAATGATTAAAGTAACAACAGTCACTTATTACATGTATAAATATTTCTAATTTTAAAAAATACAATGTAACAACTTAATGTGTAAGTCAGATACCATGATCAGCACACTCTGGTCGAGGAAACCTTCACATATGTATATATGTTACAGTAAGAATGCGTACCTAGTGAATAGGCGTAATCACTGAATATTTTAGTGAATACACGTATTCCCCGTTTCACTCAGGGGTTTCACGTTATCACTGAAATTTCTAGTGATTACGCGGAATCCCTAAAATTAGACCTATCATTTTACATGTTTTTACTACTGAGCATTCAGTGAATTCATGTAATAGCCCCGCCACTGTACAGGGATTACGTGTTTTCACTGAAATATTCAGTGATTACGCGTATTAACTAGATTGATCTACGTATTCTTACTGTAACATAGATATGCCAGCTGGCAAACAAGGAGACAACGTTTGTGTGCCAGTTTCACTTGTTGATCGAGGGAGAGGCGATCCTAGAAATATCCTTGGTGTCATAATTGACAGATAAGAACATAGCCGTAAAAGCTGGTTTGTATTCCAGAAATCAGTTCGATCTGTTCCCTGAGCGTCTTCTGAACACTGACGACATAAACACCGAAAAAATTGTTTCACTGCGTTCGACGGTGATTTTTCAATCCTCTCCAGGTGGACTAGGCTTCACAAGATGCAACTGTACTGATGCCAAATGATGTAGTTCGAGGCGATGTAAATGTCGTAAAGCTGGTCGTCAGTGTAACTCACACTGCCATAGCAGCTTCAATTGTTGTAACAAGTGACGACGTCGATGGATTTTAGTCTTAAGAATTTAACTGAAAACTGAAACAACAACAACAGCAGCAATTGTGTTTGCCATTTAAAAAAATTAAATGCTTTGTTTTTAGATTGTGGAGCAGGTGTGTGTTTGTGTGTGTATGTGTGTGTTTGTGTGTGTATGTGTGTGTGTGTGTGTGTGTGTTTTGTGTGTGTGTGTGTGTGTGTGTGTGTATGTGTGTGTGTGTATGTGTGTGTGTTGTGTGTGTGTGTGAGAGAGAGAGAGAGAGGGATGATAGTATTATACAATGCAGTTGAAAGGAGGAACTTATCA